TAGGGTTTGGGGTCACAGGTAAATAAGCCCAACAACACAAAGCACAGAACCAATATGTTATTCGACCCAGCCGCACCGCAAAAATTCGCCAGGAGAGTTACCTCGGCTGGAGGCGGGGATGCGTTTTTGCGATTTTAAAAGGTTTGTATGAGGCTTTATATTTTTCAAGCTGTTTTTCTGCCTTTAGGGTTTAGGTTTATGTTTCAAGCGGTTGTGTAAGAGGATTTTGCGGTAAGGCAGCTTGTTCTTAAACTGGAGATTCGTACTGAGGAGTCTGCTCCTCTTCCTATTTCACGGATCCTACTATGACCATTCCGGGCTCAGTACTGTATACGGGAGCATGAGACAATGAGGGACCAGAATATGGGCCCTAAGCCGTGCAAGCTAGATTTAACTAGGAATCCCTAACTACATGACATAACATACTCCTATAGGAGTATTATGTTCATGTCTCTGCGTGGTTACGCATTGGCGCGCATAGTAAACCATCCTATCTCTGCTCCACTTCTGACACGTGATTGGATCTACATCGGGGGGGGGGGGGTTCTGACATTCTGTCGTCTACATTAGCGCCCCTCATGTCTGAAACTGCAAACTAGCTAGATTAATACAGAATATGCTTAACTTTTTGATACAATCACGAGCGCGACGCAAATAAATTGGTAGTTGCAACAGTTGTATCCCGGATTCCCAACAGGCTTTTGACTAACCTCAGAGCTCGAAGTGGCACGTTACGTTTGTAATGCTTGGAACGTGGAAAGTGCTTGTTTCGAAGAGTTTTCGATGTATCAGAAGTTGTGAGTACTTGGAGCTCCTATTGTGCCGAAAGATGGCCGTGGACATGTGAAAGCTTCCTACTGTAAGAGAAGTGGCGAGTACTGGAAGATGTTGGGAATGTCTAATGTGAAATTTGTATCGTTGTGCTAGGCTCGCTTTCCAACTTGTAGTATTCTAAACTTCGAAGAAAGCAGAATGAACAGCATTGGCAAGTGCCCAAATTGCGAACCGAATAGAACGTCAAGTCTGCTACGAAGCAACAGTCTTCATAACCCAGAGACGCCAATATCCCATAAATAAGGAATATACCTTAAANNGATCCCTCATATGATTTAAGGTATATTCCTTAGTTAAGCGAGATTGGAAGCACGGCCCAAGAAAGTCCACGAATGCCAGGGCATGTGTTCGAAGAATTTTCGGAAGACGACAGAAGCCCTTTTTCCTTCGGAAACCATCAGCAACATTTGAAGGATGCGGGTACTAGCATTACGTGGTTAGTTACATGTTTGGTCGCTCGCTGCAAAATTCTGCAAACGTTGTCAATCGTAACGCGATGTCTGGTGATAAAGAACTACTAGCAGCACAGTTGCTGCCAATCAGGTTGTGAACGTTCTCGGTATGACAATCTGACGCTGAATGCCTTCCCATTATTGATGCAACTACCCATCTTTGGTAGTGTTGCAGACCTCGCCAAGATTACCCAGTACCAAAACCAGAAAGTGTACTAAATTACATACCGATGCTGAAACATGTTTGAAAAGTGCGCAGATTGCCAGTGCTAGTCAGGATAAACCATCATATTATCACCATTCGTGCCTCCATTCCCTTCTTGCTGATGTTTCGTGTTACTTCTGGGCTAACCGATCATAACGATTTTTTATGGCATTGCTGATGATATGCCCATTCAAACATCAGTGTCCGCAATACCTCTAACACCGTGTATCATGCTGACATCACAATTGCTTACTGTCGACGAGCTTTCTTAAGACATACAGTCGTAAATGCTGATACATTAGTCTTACTGCTCAACAGGCGAATAATACGAATCAGCAGCATGTATTTCTATCCGTTTATATGCTGTCTTGAAACGTGAAAATGCCGGGTGTCAGGGTCGTTGGTCTTTGATATGTCGACTAATTAAACTTAGATTTAGCCAGCAGCATGTGTGGATACATCGCGAGGTCGCAACAACGACTTCAAAAGTAAGATATCAATAGGTCTGTCTAGCTACTTCTGTGAAGCATGTGCTGTCTGTGTCTACCTTTTTCGGACAGTGATTGTGTTTTGCATGTGCATTTGCAAGCACCTATGAAGGTGTACGGCGACAGGTCTGAGTGTCGCAGAAAAGTCCAACCAGAATCGCCATGGAAACCGAAGCATACGAGTTGCAACGCGGGGCCCCCATGGACCGCTCAAGTGCGATGGCAACCTGAGGTGTCCCGGAACAAACAGGCCGCAGCTGGCTTCTAGCTTGCTTGTCGCGGTTTGACGGGTACTCAATCCGAACCACAAAAGCACACACAAACAAACACGCACATGTACATGTACACACGCGCACACACACCACACGCATGCAGCCGAAATAGCAAATCGGGCTAAGCAAGGCGTGCATAGCCGCTCTGCGGTTAAAGTGTGGTTCCTAGATGGATGGATCAAGCACAGATTCCAGAAACACTCCGGATCGGGTTTAGAAGGTTAATTAATTAGAGAACCGTTTGTCGGACCCTTAAGACCTAAAAGCAAGTCCAAAGGAGCAATGAGGCTGATCTTGCACACATCTGCACATCCTTGCAGAGCTTCGCCCGGTCTTCTCGACAAGGCCAAAGCTTGGACTACAGCACATGGATGGTTTCTAATCTCCTCCCGCGACTGTTTTCCCACCCGACTTAGGCTTCAAGTCTACAGGATATCAGTACTATTTGAGAAGGCCAAATAGCATGACATGGAACAGGAAGGTTAGGTGGAAGCAGGCAGATCACAACCGCAACATGCCCACCCCGACCGATGCCAAAAAATGCCAAAAGAGAACTCCATAACGCCACGTCGACGTACAATATCAAATTGGTGGAGAGTTTAAATTACCCGCCGGGTAACGTGGGAGTCTGGTGCTCATACACCCTATAAGGTTCATACCACAAACTTCTGACTCTACTCAAGGATCCAGGCGTCGTTGGCCCTGAGCCGCAAAACAGAACAAACAACCAGAAAGCCTTGCCTTGACATAAGATATACTATATAGAATACATAATTTATGACAAATATTTAAACAGAATACATAATATGTGACACATAGTCCATATAGTAGACAAGATATGCCAGCGGGTGAGGCGGGGCCCTACGGCTTCCACATCTGAAGCAGCAAACCTACCATCCGCATCTTTCGGTTTCGAGTCTATTTCAAGTTGAGGACTTTAAGGCTTTAAGGCTCCCGCCTTTCGGTAACTTCCAAACTAAGTGAGAAATCACGAATGTCACGGAATGAGGACGGAGGCGTGCACCTGCTACTCTCCAACTCCATCGGCCAGAACCAATCGCAACTATCCCGTGAGCCCCAACCTCAAGTCAAATCCACGTTTCTGAGATAAGCACCCAGCGCTATTGACCAAGAAGAACGATAATACATAGCCCAAAAGCCTGATAAGTGATGTTTCTAGAATTTCTACTCGTCCCTTGAACTTGAGCCGAGTCGCACCAAGATGAAGAGGCCGGCAACAATGCTCCAGATATGCCTTGCTGTCGGCTCGGGTGGCTAGAGCTCCGACTCTCACGACTTGGGCAAACCGGGCGAGGCGAGAGGTTCGCGGTTTTGTACTGCTTCAGCAGCGAACCCGAAATATCGCAACCGCGAAACCCGAAGTAGCTGCTGGCAGCAAGTGCCAGCTTCGTACCCTTCGCGGCTACCCGTCCGATCAAAAGCTGACTCGTGTGATTCATATTGCCATGCAAACGTCATTCCATGGTTATGCGGTTATGCCGCGTTGGTAACAAGCTTTCGACCGCCACACATCACGACACAACGAGAGAAAATGCAAAGTAACCTCCGATGCGTCTACTGCCGGAACTGGAGACGAATCCCTGGAAGGGCCCCGTCAAGGCTATCCTTGTCGCTAACTCAGAATGAAGCGAGCCGTGACTAAAATGTCCAATATTGGCGGCAGTCGCTGATGCATGAGTAGTCTCGACCGGCATTCACCTTCCCCCCTATATATATATATACACATATACATATACATACATACAATATATATATATATATATATATTATATTTATATTATATATATATATATATACATACATATACACAGGTAAGAAGCGTAATACGCTACACCAATTGTAAAACCCCCGCAGTCTGTCTTGTTCAGGGTCAGAAGATGCAAATTTCTAAGCACCCCAACAGCCCACCTCAGATCGAACACAGATTCTCGGCTCTCTCACGGCCCCCCCTGCCACCCCTGCAGCCCGCAAGACTTCGTGTTATTGCGGAACAGGGGCAGATCTTTATACGCGGGCTTGGCGCCCGGTGCTGCAATTGCGAGGATGGCGAACAAGATTCCGTAGCCTTCCTGCCAGGGTTTTACGCCGTCGGGAAGTTTTGGAGGGGATGCAATCAGAGGGTCAAGAAACAAATCGCAATAGAAACTTGACAAAACAAGCAGCGAATGTCTGTAGCTCGAAGCATTGATGCAACAAGATCGAACAACACCTTCCTGCTGTGAACTTTTGGCGCAAATGTACAGCCGGCACAAGGTGCCACAACACGAGAATGCCGAAACCGATCTCCTTCCTCAATTATTTCCCTCCTTTCTTGGTTCCTTCCTCCATCTGCCTGCGCTCTGCCTCCCTTTCACACCTTAGCGTGTGCTGGCAGAAGTCGGAGACATGACCACGCTGTTTCCCGCGTGGGTTGGCCAAGGTCAGACATGTCGATGCCAAAATGAGGCCAATGTATTGCACCTGAACGAACCGAAATAATGGGACACGAGCACAAACTAGGCACGGCACCACAGTGCCCGAGTCCCCAAATGGGCATCGCGGGGCAAGCATTTTGCCAATACATGTTCCCGGCCCTGAATCCCCAGTACGCGGGGCGAAGCATTGAGGCCAATTTGGGCCCTCATGTTTGGCGGGGCGGTGTCTTCTCCTGGTCTCCTGGTGGTGGTGGCCATGGTGCTCCCATCACTGTTTAGCTATAGGGATCTGCATCTGTAAAAGTTGCACCCTTCCCTTGATGCTCAGGTGCCGTCGCTAGGCTGTTCTATCGAAAAGGGCCGTTTGCTGCAGTACGGCTTTGTATTGGGTTGCCCGATGCCTCTGTTTGGTGATCTCGGTACACCGGGCTCGGAACCGCCGGTCTCCTTGCTCTTTGAGAGCTTTGTCCCGCTTGAAGAAAAAAGTCAAAGATGCTGACGGCAGGCCAAGAAAGCCAACAGTGACAGCAAACTCATTCCAAGTCGACCCGAACACCCCGGCCCAAGACCTAGATATCGGCGAGGCAGAAACCGCAACATAACGAAGCAAAAGCAAGTGCAGCCGCGGCTCCAGAGACAGTGTCAATACCGAACACCAATTTTTGTAGATGTTCGCCCATTGCTCATGAATACCTGGGTTCGAGGTGGTGGGTGGCTTAGATTTCGTGGCTTGAACTTACCCGCAGTCTCAAGCCCGAACCGATAGAGCCGCTAGGGATCATCGGCACATGGCAGCACTGCCTGGCTGTGGTGTGTAATTCAACCTTACCCTAGATACGAACACGTCTAAGACCTATGTTCTAGATACAGGAGCTCTTCTCGTAAGTGCTTAAACTCGATACTTATAATTTCTAGGACATACATGAAAGCGTTCTCAATGGTACCAGCAGCACGGGCCAACTTGACTTGCACGCGATGACTCGTCAGCCCAACCGACAAGCCAACAGTAAACTCAGCGGACGGTTCCTTCAAGCATTACGAGAAGACTTGAAACAAACAGTTCAGAAGGTACAACTTGAATACATACCGGCGACACTACATCACGGCTTCACAGCACGAACAACATCTAACTGGGATGAGACCGATTAAGCCTGAACGGGACACGAGCAGCAAGATAAGCATAAGCAGAATCGATACCTAATGGCAGACAGGGTCCTTCTGGCCACTAAGAACAACAGACCATGTTGAGCGCTCTTCTTGGTCCAAGGCTTTGGTTTCGGTTCAGGATTTAGGCCTCGGGGCGGGTCGGGATTGTACAAGTAGGTTTTTAACCAAATGAGGCAGGGCCTGCAAGGAACCTGTCTGCAATGGTGGATGAAACTTCCCTGTGTAGGCCCCAAGACCGAGAACCATGCGCTTGAACGGTTCGATACCTCTTATACGTTCACTAACATTCACCTTCCGGACAAATCACGCACTCGAAGCTCATCCGCATCTCTCCAACTCGTAACGGACTGGAGGCACGATGTCCAGATGGCCTTTCGGACATGTGGCTGGGATTCTGCATGGGTCTACCGGTCTACCCATAAGCTGGGCTTGAGATTCACATAGAGGACCTGGGCCCGGACCCTGGTTTCGAGGGATGGGGTGGGCTTTCTGGCTGCGCCGAGACAATCAGCCAAACGGGATCATAACCCATCGCAAGGCTCATGGTTGACGGGTGGCAACGACTCAAGCTGAAGTGATACTGAAGCTATGTACGGACTGCAGACACAAACAGCAGCGATCTGCACGCAAAATGGACATGATGCGGTCAAACTCCCGATGTAAGTGGCAGAAACACACGGCCGATGACTTGCGAACGCGACTGAACAACTGATCGTTCTTGCGCAGCGCGCAAGCAACCGTAAAGGGAAACTGCGTTATTAAAAGATAAGAGTTGTTCGATTTGACACTTTGGCGGCTTCCGCATTTGGCTTTTGGGGAAGCTCGCACGGTTGGCCGACATGACCGTAGGCAACGTAGTACAAACACACAGGAAACCAAGAACCGGAGCCTCTGAACCCCCGGACGACATAGGATGGGCTCAAACACAAGCCCAAAATCCCAAAAGAATCTCCGAGGCTTCATTCGTTGTGCCATCGGTGTGTGTCTAATGCAGTGACGATGATTAGCCGGCAGCGGCAAGCTCGTCTCAGGGCCACGTCTAAAGTGCTCGTCGCGAAAATAACCACGAGGAAGCCCAGAAAAGATCGCTCCGGACTGCTGCGACGACTCTGTCCGGTCTCGAGGAAACTCTCGCAGCCGAAAATTGAACTATTCGACAAACGACAAACGGAGCAGGATACACTGGACAGCACGGACTGCTATAACCACATGTCTGGTTTCGCCAATGTAAATATGCGCAAGCTTCGTCCGAGTCTGGGGACCGCTTTCGATGTCCAGCTGTCCAGTGGCAGTAAGTGTGGGTCAGTTGTATTGAATTGTTTTTATGCAACCCACCAAAATCAGCACACTCCAAGTGGTAGCACAAAAGCTCGAGCCCACAGCAACCTTGAGCTTGTGGCTGGTCGGGCGGCATCTAAGTTTGGTGACTGTGCCTTGGCAGTCAAGGAACTCTGTGCGCTGCATCTCGGCAACTGGGGTATACGGAGCTTCATGCCATGCTTTATGATCGAGCCTCCGGTGTTCTAGGGCATGGTACTATGTGCACCTGCCTAACGTTGCTGCGAGTACCAAATGTGGCTTAGTAAGGCTTAGTAGTTAGTAAGTTACTGCTACTTCGGCGACGACGGCTAAGTGGCAGTACCTACCCAACAGTTACCCAACACTGCCACTACACCACCGCCGTTACCACAACGATGAAAGCTGCTACTGCTGATGCTGCCTACTACTACGACTACTACGACTACTACTACTACTACTACTACTACTACTGCTGCTGCTGCTGCTGCTGCTGCTGCTGCTGCTACTACAACTACAACTACAACTACAACTACAACTACAACTACTACTACTACTACTACTACTACTACTACTACTCATGCTGCTACTACTACAACTACAACAACAACTACTACAACAACTACTACTACTACTACTACTACTACTACTAGTACACCTAGTACTACTAGTACCACTTGTACTACTAGTACTACTAGTACTACTAGTACTACTAGTACTACTAGTGCTACTAGTACT